TATTAAAAAAACGAGTAACATCTCAAGAACATCGGAAGGTTAGGTAAATTCTTTTGTTTTCGTCATGTATTTTATCCTATTTTACATTGAAATACATCACGTTTCAGCAAAGCTACTATTGATTTCCGAGAATATAGTCATTCAGGCGCAGTTTAGGTAAAATATACATGTGATGTAACAGTTTTTTAACTGAAAACGATTAGAAAAACACGTACCCTCTAGCCCTATTCAAGGAGAGGCCTAGGAGGAGCTGTTTGGTGCTGCAGACGATGACAAGGAAAATGATTTGGATGGATTTTAATGAAAATATTCAGAAATATCGTATCGTAGTATTTATTCAAGTCAATTAGGATAGAATATTATTGTAATACAACAGTTTTTTTAACTGAAAACCAATCGAAAAGCGATTACGGTAACATCTTTTGAACGAAAGAAAGCGAAAGTCATTGTTTTCGTCTCGATTTTATCCCACTTTCCACTGTAATACGTATGTCATTTCAGCAAAAACATTACATTTCCGTGAATGCATTATATCAGCACAGTATGCATAGAATACCATTGTAATATAACAGTATTTTAACCAAAAATTATTAAAAAAACGAGTAACTTCTCTTGAACATCGGAAGGTTAGGTAAAATCTTTTGTTTTCGTCGTGTATTTTATCCTATTTTACATTAAAATACATAACGTTTCAGCAAAACTACTATTTATTTCCGAGAATATATTCATTCAGGCGTAGTTTAGGTAAAATATACATGTGATGTAACAGTTTTTTAACTGAAAACAATTCGAAAAACACGTTTACCGTCTAGCTGATACTCAACAGCTGGTGGTGCGTCATGCGTCGTTGTAAACAATAGGAGGTTGAAGTAGATTACCGGGTATTATATTAAGTGTGAAATATCGAAAAGGTTTTTATTACCGGTATTTTTTGTAGATCAATGAGAACTGTGATACCGTATATGATATGATAAGTTAGCCTGTGCTAAGAACTTCAACATAGACTACTGAAAACGTGTTGTAAGGTAATTTAGCCTATTGTAAGTTGGTGAGCTTCATTTGCTGAAGGAACTGCACAACTTTTCATTACTAATTGGTACATATTTTACGTTTCCATTGTTTACTGGCAGTAAATGGTAAATATTCTTCATGTCTGAAGCTAAAAGTTGCATCCCCCCCCACACTAGTGGTGGAGATGTTACATTTAACCAAAAAGATGCTGGTGTTGTATCCCAGCAGTGGGTGTAACAGCATTTAGCTTAAGGTCCGCGTAGGTAATGTTCCTACAAATCTAAAAAAAAAATAAAAAAAAAAAAAAAAGGTTCAGATTTTGTCTGAATTATCCAAAATCCGGATTGAAGGGGTCCGAATTAACGAGGGTCGACTGTACTTGCAAATTTCCACATCCAGTCTTGTTTTGATCATAATCATGAGATATTTGATGGAATCAAGAAATTTCTACTACATATAATGTTTGTAGAAATAGATTAGATTTTTTAGATTGCCCCTGAGGGGGCTAGTTTATTGGGCACCCCCTTACATCCTGTACAAGTTGAAGCGCAGAAGCATTTTTAGCGCCCATCTGGGAAGCATGCGGAGTTCATGCTTACCTTTATGACTCATGCATTAAGGGCGTAAAAGCCTGAAGGAACATGGGTTTTGTCAGCAAGTTACATTAAGTGACAGAATGGTGAATGTGTGGGGGGAAAATTCCCGGTACAATTTATCTGTTTATGGCAAAGTGTGGCAGCTCCCTAATAATGTCAAGTGCCAGGCTTGTCACTAGGAGGAGGGATATTTGGTCAGGGAGGGAAGAGGTGTTGGTAACGGCTGGGGACCTGTGGGAGGTCATAGGGCAAGTGAGGATGTAGTGAGAGAGGGTGTGAGAGTCGGGTTAACCACAAAGTTTACATACAGTGTGGCCAGGCTCAGGGTTGCCAATGTACTAGGCATGGCGAAGTACAGTGGGGGTGGAGGTGATATGATGTGGTGGGACAGGTACAGTAGGGGTAAGGGAGGCACATAGACATTGACAATATTGAGGGACATACCTTTTAGTGTGATTGTGATGGCGTGTGCGTTGACATGCTGGTGGGGTATGGGTAGCCGGGGGTGGTATCCTCAGGTCCAATAGGTAGCCCTGGTGGAGACAGCACAGACACAGGAGCTGGCGCGGCTTGAGGTGGGTGGACAGTTTGAGACACCACGTGTCGTGAAGATGAGGCAGGACTTCGCTCGTGGGCAGCACGACACACCAGGGCAGGCCCGGAAGGTGCTATACCAGTAGTGAAGGCTGCCGACAGTGGAGTAGGTTGTGAGCAGGGGGGGCTCACAGGGGACTATCAGCTTGTGTCAAACCAGAAGAGAGGAGTGACTGGGTGGCAACAGAGGGCAGGAGTAGGTCGGAGATGGTGGTACAGAGTGTAACGAAGAGTTTTCGATACTGTTGGTAAATTCTTGAAAGAGGGATATGATCTGTGTCATGTCACTGGAGGGGGGTTGTGGGGGGGCACCGGTGGGAGCACAAGGCCTGACAGCGTCAGAGTAGAGACGGGGAAGAGGCCCAGTAGTCGTTGAGTTAGGAGATGGCCGGGATTGCTGTGTTGCAGCCAGGTGAGGCTAGGCAGGGGCAGGTGTTGTTGACAAAAGCGTTGCTGGAGACAGAGGGGACGCAGAGGAAGGCGGCCTGGTAGACTGGGGGGGTTGTGGCAGACGCAGCCTTCGGGGAGGCTTTTCCCCAGGGACAGACAGGCAAATGGGGCATTGCCGTGAGTTGCATTGTGCTGGCCGCCACAGTTACAACACCTTGGATGAACTACATCGCCCACACCACCCCTATTTAGGTGGTCTTTGATTTTCTGAGCACAAGAGGCGGGTGTTATGGTTTAGTGAACAGAAGCAACATCTGGGACGATCACGTCGGCAGCAGGCAGTGAAGGTGTGACCCCAATGAGAACAGATAACACAAAATGCAGGCCCGGGGTGATAGGGTTCTGCATAAAGTGGAGGGGGGATTAGGTGGGCCTCCATAGTGGTTGGGCATTCCCTTCCCTTCCACTTGACAATGACAGCAGCTTGTGGAGTCTTCCCCCGGTAATGTCTACGTATACTGAGTATACTAGAATTAAAGTCATGCGCAATAGTTATTCATAGTCTCATGAACTGATTTAAGTTAATCCAATTAATGTATTTTTCTCTTGATCTCATAGGTGTGTATTTCATGAATGGTGTGGTGTACAGGAGGCAGCAGCAGTTGCAGATGAATTATTAAGTCAGATGATCCACAAGTATATGCAACTCTCTGAATCTTCACTGCATATATATAGGATGAGCTCCATACTTCATACAAAGGTACAGTATTGAGGTTTCTTTTTATTGATACTTTGAGTTATTCCCTGTCCTTGTATATTAGGATGGTCCTTGTCTGTTGGAAGATAGAATGACAACATTAGAATCTTTTGTTCTGAAACCTGGCTGTTTGTAAGGTTATTCTAAAGATAATGAATAAGCTTTTTGGTGTACAGTGTATGAAATTCCAATACATATTATAGACTAAAGAGTGTCCCAGAGATACATGGCAATGCAGCTGAGGAAGAAAAGTGTTTGGAAGATGAGGAGTTGTAAACTGTAGAATAATTATATATACAGTGATCCCTCGGTTAACGAGCACCTCAGTTAACGAAATTTCGGTTAACGAATTACCTTCCATAAGATTCTTCACTTAGGTTAACGAATTCCTTACGAATTTTTCCCAACATGTTTTCGCCTGCTCACCAGCTGTAGTATTAGTCCGCCAATACAGTAATCGGTTTTAGGGCTTAAATTCGTTACCATTTGAGTAAATATCAAGAAGGTTGTACTATTCAATAATTTTCCAAGTCTTATATTATTTTAATCATTTTAACAATTATTTAACATAATTGAAGTACAGGGAACTAGTTTTTAGCGTGCCAAACAGCAACTCAACACACCCAAAATGGCGTCAGTGTGTGTCCCTTGCTCAGAGGAGGAAGCATCTTGCTTGGAGACTCTCTTGAACATAAACTATTTTTACATTTTTACAGCACAATTAATGGTCATTCTGAAGTTTATTTTTCATATTGACAATATATAATGCAGTGCAGTGTTGATTTAAAGAAAATAATCTTGAAATACACCAAATGAACTAAAATTTTATGGCTGACATGGCGGCATGGGGTGACTTCTCTTCCACCCCAATGCCTTCTCTTCTCCCTTCTCCTCCACCCCCATTCTAATTCCCATCATCATCATCATCATCATCATCAACAACAACCAGGAGCCTTCTACTATTTTTGTTGAATTTAGGAAATTTTCGGTGAGCTGGAACCAATTACCCAAAAACCCATTGAAACAATGGTTTCGGTTAACGAACGACCTTCTGGAACGGATTGAGTTTGTTAACGGAGGGATCACTGTACTGTATTGATCTACACTACGAAGATGCCGGAAAACCAGCTTTTTAAAGTGAGACAGATTGTAAGAGCATGGAAACACAGAAGAAGGCAGAGCATTCCACAGCATGGCTGTGTGAGGAAAGAAGGAGGCACTATAACGGGTTATTCTCGTGTGACCGACATCCACGGAGAAACGGTGGGCACCGCGGGCAAGACGTGTGTTACGAACCCACGGCCTTGCTGGCGGTACACAGGACGCCCGTTAAAGTACCTGTAAAAGAGAGAGAGTGAAGCAACATTGCGGCGAAGAGAAAGGGAAGAGAAATTGTCGACTAAAGGAGGAGAGTTAATAAGACGAAATGCCTTTGATTCCACCCTATCTAATAGTTGGACAGAAGAAGAGCCACCCCAGATATGAGAGCAGTACTCCAAGTTAGGATGAATGAATCTCTTATATACTTGGAGCAACTGCTCAGGAGTGAAGTAGCTGCGGTATCTGTACAGCATTCCCAACTTTTGGGAGGCAGCTTTAGTTATACTAAGGATGTGTGATTTCCAGGACATATTGGAGGAAATGGTGAGGCCTAACATATTTATTTCGGAATTTGGGAGGATGATAGCGTCCTGAAATGTAATTGGTGGGAGATCGTTTAATTTACAAAGTGTAATTGGTAAATATTGAGTTTTATTACTATTGAACTTAACCAAGTTTGTACCTCCCCATTCAGAGATGCTGCACAGATCCGCATTGATAGAAGTTATGATATCAGTTCTAGAAACAGATTTAGTTTGAGGGTTAGGAGGAAGGGGAAAATGTGAGGAAGAGTGAAGAGTAGAATCATCAGCGTAAGAATGGATAGAGTTAGTTGTAGTGTGAAGTAAATCATTGATAAAAAGAAGGAAGAGAGTTGGTGAAAGACAGAACCCTGTGGGACGCCACTACTGGTAGAGAAAGAGCGAGAAATCGATCCCTCAACAACAAATGCCATGGATCGGTTCTCAAGGAAGCTAGAGATGAGAAAACAAAATGGGGGAGAGAAACCAAAAGAGGGAAGTTTAGATAGCAAAGACTTGTGCCATACCCTGTCAAATGCTTTGGAGATGTCGAGAGCCACGACAAAAGTTTCCCCATAATCCGTAAGAGAGGATGACCAAAGATGGGTGCATTAGGAGAGCAGATCACCAGTAGATCTCGCCTGGCGAAAGCCATACTGGTGATCCAACAATAGAGAAAGGCGTTCAAGGTGACGGAGAAAATGGGAGTTCAAGATAGTTTCGAAAGTCTTAGAGAGGGATGAAGTTAGGGCAATGGGGCGATAGTTAGAGGGATTAGAATGATCACCCTTCTTCGGGATGGGCTGAACCAAGGCATGCTTCCAAGAAGAAGGAAAAGTTTGGGTTTTGAGGCAAAGGCAAAAGAGGCGAGCAAGCACAGGGGCCAGGGCTTCAGCACACTCCCTCAGAACACGAGGGGGTATTCCGTCCGGTCCATGCGCCTTACTCACATCCAACCTGGATAACACACCAAGTTAGTTATTTAGGTATTTGGATTGTGTTGCAAATGTTTACTGTTTTAATGGCTTTAGTGCTCCATAGGGTAGTGGGTTGGTTTGGAGACCAACACCTCCATGGCATGACTAAGATAAAAGAATCTAAGGGTAAGATCAGCTTAACCTCTGTAAGTGGCCTAAGGCTACTTAGAAATGATCATAATTTATTAGTTTTCATCACCATAATTACTACCATTATATGGCTTTTTCCTTGCTTGCATGGGTTAACCAAGGTCACTGATGGCATTGTTTTCCATTTGCCATTTGAATAGTTTGAAGTAAATTTTACAGCTGGATGTTCTTTTTTTAGCCAACCCACTTTTACAGAGTGGGAACTTGGCATTATATGGTATATCTGCATTTATATCTGCATATGCCCCAGAGGTTTGGCTATGTGAGTATTAATTATTTGATTAGGTAAGAATTATTTAAGGGAGAGAAGGACAATTTCTCTGATTAGTTGGTGCATTTAGTATTGGAGCTCGGTGAAAGGGAAATTGTAATACTGTACTGGGGGATGACCTTAATAGCCATATTGTTATACACAACATAGGGTTTGAGGATGTGCATGGTGGAAAAAGCTGAGGTACAAAAAGTTTCGAAGGAGGAAGTACATGAGTTTGGGGATGTACTGAATATACTGTAGTTGTGCGTAATATTTTTAAGAAGAAGGCAAGTAGACTGGTTTGATTATGTATAAGTCAGGTGGTCAGTACTTCTTGTCAGGAAATCATACAGGAAGCTTGTTAGGGATGTAAAGGTTATAGCAGGGGAAGAATGTGCCTTGAAGCACAGATTGTTCTTGTGTGAGAATGTTGATTTAAAGTTGCAGGGAAAGTGAATGTGTATGGCTTGGGCAGGATTGTTTGTGGAAATTAAAGGAGTAGAATGTAAGAGAAGCATTTTATGATGAGCTGAGAGGAGTGGAATCAACCAGCAACAATGTGAGAAGTTGTACTGTATAGTGATATGCTGGGCCAAAATAATTTATGTTCTACTAAGTATGGGTGACCAGAAGTGTGAATGGATGAAAGGCCCAACCAGACATGCATTAACATGGTGGTGGAACAATGAAGTGGACAGTGCGATAAAGGTGAAAAGATGATGATTGTGTAAGGCTTGGAAAACAGGTAGCAACAAGGAGGATTACCTAAGCATCAAGTGCAGGGCCAGAAGAGAAGTGAACAAGAGTAAGAAAATTAAATCAGATGCACTTGCAGGTATGATGATTAATATGGACACGAGGCGAGATATTCATAATAACAAAGTAGATGGTGGCTAGAAACAAGAGCATTGTTGGTGAGCAGTATGTGAGAATTAACCACGGTAATGTGGTTATTAATAATGAGGAAATCAAGAATGCCTGGAGAAAATAATATTACTGACTGTTGAATGAGGAATATAAATGGGACAGGGGCAGCCTAGGAACAGCAGAAGCAGTATAGGGGCCATGTCCAAGGATTGAAACAGAATGGGTGAAGAAAGTGGTTGACAAAGAAAAAGTATGGAAAGGCAGCTGAAATCTTTGGTACTGAAAGCCTCAGATGACGTCAGTGTGTTGATGATAACTGAATTGATTAATGTGGTCATGATGGAATGTACTGTCACAGGTGACTAGTGGAAGAGTGTGACCATTAGTAAGATGGTGTGCACTGAAATCCACTGTTAGTTAGCCTTTAGATGGTTAGGGTTTACTACTGTACATATAATGAGTTGCTTCTCTTTGGTTAGATATGAACTAGTCTGAGCTTGCTCCGAGTTGACACATAAGTAAGACTATTGTTATCATAGGAACCTGGATGTTAAAGGTTCACACTTTCTCAGAAGGTCCAGGGTAATACCAAGGACCTGTATTTTACAGGAGAGTTAGGGGTGGCAGTCCTTAACCTTCCTTTGCCATTGGGGGTATTTTTGTGGGGTGCATAAATGCATAACTTTTGGAGTATTGATTACTTTTTTTTTCCCATTTTCTAGCTGGCAGTTTTTAACAGGAGCTACCTTGTAAGAGTGTCAAGTTAGATATGGAGTTTGAGTCTGAAATCCTATATCTAGGGTAGCCTGTAACCAGGCTACTAAGATACCCTCTTTCCTTGGTTTTGTAGGTAATAAGAGGAAAATTTATTATAAAATACAGTGGTCCCTCGGTTAATGAACGGTTCAATTAACGAAATTTTGGTTAACAAATTAACTCCCATAAGGATTTTCAGTTCCATTAACGAACAAAACTTTGATTAACGCTTTGTTGTGCGCATCAGCTGATCAGCTAGTCCGCCAATGCAATAATTGGTTCTATGTTTACATTAATTTCCAGTGGATTAAAATATCAAGAAAGTTGTGCTCTTGAATATTTTTGCATTTTTTATATTAAAATTATTGGTCATTCTGAAATTTAATTAACATATTGATAATATATACTGTACAGTACAGGGAACAGTTTTTGTGTGCCCATAAGCAGACCGAATCACCCACCAACGCTTCTTAGTTTAACTTTGTTTACAGTGGAGTGAACATCGAATTTGTTGGTCTCTTGAATATTTTTGCATTTTTGCATTAAAATTATTGGTCATTCTGAAATTTAGTTAACATTGATAATATACAGTGCAGAAATTATTATGAAACATGAAGAAGGCATTAGAACCAATGCACTCTGTAAAGAATATGGCATGTCATCATCGACTGCCTCTACAATCAGCCTTTTGATATGTAAACAAAGCTGCCGGGAATATAACATACACCTCCTCAAAGTAAGTTAAAATACAGTATTCTATTGTTTTTTATTTATTATTATACAGTATACTGTACAGTACAGTACTGTATTTAGTGTATATTTAATGTTTGTTAATTCTATTACTGGTATACAGTACTTTGTATGTGTACTTTTTCTGTGAGTTGGAACCAATTACCCAATATCCCATTGAAATAATAGATTCAGTTTACGAAATTTTTGGTTAACAACCGACTCTGTGGAACCAATTGTGTTCGTTAATCGAGGGACCACTGTAGTAGACTGCCACAGAAATTAGACATCCATCTCTAATTGGCTAACTTTATAGGCTTGTCTCTAGAGGGCAACATTTATTGCCAATTTCCCTGAAGGGCAGTAATGGTGACAGGGAGAATTTCATAAGATTAATCCTAGGTATAAGCGAGGAGGTAGTCTATCATCCTAAATCCTCTAGAAGAGTTTGTTCATTAGCAGGAGTCACTAAGTTACAGTTTCTGCTAAGAATTAGGATTGTGACATCAATATTCCATTTTTGCCATCATATTCTTTTTTAAATTCCAAACAATCTTTTATAAAAAAGTAAAGTGTTAATTGGTCCATGGTTTGATGTGAGGGGTGCAACAGTCATATGGATATACAGACCTTGCCTCTTGCTCTAAAGGTCACTTGTTCAATCTTGAGGCACCCCTATTTCACCCAGTTGTAAATGGCTACCTAGCCATATAATTGGGGAATTGAAGGCAGTCTACTGTAGTGCTGGCCATGCTGCCTCCCAGTGTACAGTTGCTCAAAAGGCTATCTTTTCTGGGGTCGATGAATTTCAGAACGAACACTGCGACTCGTGATGTCTTTGTATGGTTGTCAAAATCCTGCATCCATTGTGTCATTGTCCTACATATTTTTTTTTTTATTAATTTTTATTAATTTTTGAGTGACTGTAAAGAAGACATTGTATACAGTGTGCTTTATCCACACTGTCCCAAATAGACCATTAGGCCTATGGGACCCACTTTCACTTTTTACACCTGACAAGGAAGTTTGATTCCAGCTTTTGGAGTTAAGTTATATTTGATAAATCCTTACAATCCATATACGTTGTAGAGATGACTAAAAGATGCTGAATGCTTCCTGGCATAATGGAACTGTTTCACTGTTTTAATTAAAAAATAGAGCTAAGTTTGATTGATTACTGTTGAAGTGCTAAACAAAATTGGTGTTTTTGTCAAAGGCCATTGTCATAGTTGAAGGTCAAAACTCTATCTAGAGCATAACTCGTGTATCAAAAAAGATTTATTAAACTTCTTACAAGTATATGTCATTACTAGAAGAGAAGAGTTATAGACTACCTAATTCAACTCTGTCATAGATCAAGGTCATGCTAGGATGTCAAAAGTTAAATTTAGCAACAGATATAACATTTACTCTTGTAAATTGTTCTTTTTTATCCTTTATTTTTTCTTTGTCTTGGATGAAAAAGGCTTTCATTTTAAATTCATATTACCATATGTAAATTTATTCATCATCTTAATGTATTTTGCACTGAAGTATGAGGAGAACATTTTTCTAGTAACCTGGAATGTTTATATAGTGTTGTATATCTTTAATTGTCCATATTTCTTAACAGTTTGAATTACATAAGGTTTATTGTTTACAGTTTGGAAACCGGCTGGCCTCACTGGTAACTGAGCTATTAATCCGTGCATTGACAATGGACATGAATAGCTTGGAAGCTCTCAAGCTAAAGCAGAAAGGAGACAACATGAAGGATGAACATCTTCTGTTGGAGCAACAGATGGCTGCTGGTTTCATGGATCTAGCAACAGTCTTCACAATACATAAGAGTGTGGCCCGGGAATGTGTTCTCACTGCATTTAGTCTCCACCCAACACCGGAACGTCTAGTCTTGCTTAATAGCTTTGTGAGCGAATCCTCCCCATCCGAGGCTGATGTTGCAGCTTCCAGTGTGCAGCCGCACCCTCCTGCTTCTTCTCCTTCCCCTCAGTTTCCTCTCTCTCCCCCTCGTCCTCCTCCTCTTCCTCCTCCTGAAGTTAAACAGGAGGATTGTACATTAATGGGGTTATCAGCTATGTGCCTCCAATCTATTCCTTCCACCAGCACCACAGCAGACAGTCTTGACACTTTACATAGCTATGGTGATGTGCAACCCACACAGTCCACCTCTTGTCTTCATCCCGCCTCCCAAGACCTTCATAAAACACAGTTTTCTCAAGAACATGCACACAGTCCTGATTTATATACAGGGATTAAGTCCAGTGCAAGTGACTCAGTCCAAAATAGTCTTAATTGTGTTGGTGTTCAGGATAGTGTTAATATTGTTGAAATGGAAGTGACTAGTGCCAGTGAAGTACAAGTGAATAATGAGGATGAAAAAGACTTTGAGTTTACTGAAAAAGGCCAAAGTTCCCCTCCAACAAGTAATCTTAGAGATCCTCCCCATGATGGCCAGTGTGTAATGCAAGTTACTATAGACACAGGACAACCCCAACCCAATTTTTTACCCACCCCAAGTTCTCAGTTGTCACAAGTAAGTAGTGTAAGCAGTGCTCAAGTAAAGACAGAAGATATTTGTATGTTGCAAACCAAAGATGTGGCTGGTGGTGATGAAGGTAGTGAAAATAGTGTTCATGTGGAAACTAGAAATAAGGAGGATGTAGATTCTATGGACAAGTTTTACAAAAGCACAGAAAATTTTATTGAACAGTTAAGTCAAGAAACACCGAAGAACTCATCACGGAAGGTATTGCTGACTAATTTGACGAACAACATATTATGCTCGAATTATGATGTTTTGACTCAACCCAATCAGGTACTTGATGCAGATCAGTTAGGATTAACAAAGGAACTCTGTGATGATTTGGCAGTGGTGCTAAGTAGTCCACGTTGGCAAGTTTTGTCATGGATGCTTGATTGGCGTGAGTTGAGTAAAATCTGTGAGCATTACCTTCATGATGCTGATAGTGCTAAGAATATGACCAAAGAATTAAAATATCTCAATATTGATTACAGTCAGTTTCAAAACATGCCCTCAGCAGAGATAACAGAGTTCACAGGTATAGAGAAAGGGTATGAACACTTTATTGAGAATGACTCCGAAAGTGAATATTCGGATGGAGAGTATCACACACACTCCAGAACTGGCCGTCGTTCATCTGCTGCAGAATCGGACACCACTGACAATGAAAAACATATTAAAAGAGGGAGAGGAAGACCAAAGAAAATTACTCATGTGAATAGACTTTATGATTCTGATTCTGACTATGGTTCATATGGTAGAAGAAGAGAACCATCATGTTATATGATGTCTGTGTCAGAATCAGAAGAATCTGATGTGGAGGGCAAAGCTAAAACAAGATTACTTAAAATGGACTCAGAAGGTGGTAGTATAGTTGAAGGCAAAAGAGTAACAGCTGTCAGTAACCAAGACAGAAGTAAACGGATTCGAATTGACGCTGAAACTGGGAAGGTGAAACGAGATAGAAATCTACTAAATACCTTGCGTCTCTTCCGCCATCAGAAATATGGAGGTGAATGTGCAGGTGATGCCAAGTACCATGGTGTACCCCGATCTCCTGATCACTTTGCTCCTCGACTTAGCTCACTTAACCTTAATCCTCGAGTTGTATTAACAGAACGTGACAAGACCATAATAGATCAACAGAGACAAAGGTCAGTGACAACGGTTGTGGCAGGGAGGAGCTTGGGACCAATGCGTACCACTCCGTCTAGTCAGTCACGCGGTTCCTGGAGATATGCAGGATCATTAGTGGCACCCTCCAATCCCACCACAGCCATACGACCTACTACATCTGTTTCTCTTCCTCGTTCTACATCAGTTCAGTGTTACCTTCGTACAAAGGATGGCAAGGTACGTGTTGCTCCATTTCAAAGAGCATTACTTACTGGTACTCGCCCGCCCAATCCTGGGGGAAATAACAATTATTTAAGGATGATTAATAAACCTACTTCAGGCTATGATGATTCATATGCTAAGTTCTTGCTTCAGCAAAATTCTGGACTTAAAGGAAAAAGTTCTAGTGTTACAATAACTAGAAAAAACATGTCACTTGATGCTAGTCTTGATTATCTCAAGAAACAAGGTACAACTGTTACTTATAAGTCTCAGAAATCTTCAACTGCTTTAGCACTCGCCAATGCTCAGAAAACTGTCTTAAATAGAATAATGTCACCAGAAAATGCCATATCAGCTATGAGTGTCCGAACTGCAATTGCCATGCCAGTTAGTAACAATCCTCCAAATTTGCCTCCAACTGATAAAAATAACCCCACAAACTTAAGTCGTGTTTTACCCAAGGGCACTACTGTTGTTAGAAAACCTAAAACAGATGGTGCAGGACCCAGTGGTCTCAATAATGGTGGATCAAGTGGTGGAGTTAGTCCACGGACAGTAGTAACACGACCCGGAACATTTTCAGCAGTGGTTGCACGACCAACCGTCACAGTTTCAAGTGCTGCCCTCCGTGCAGCTAACTCTGTGATGGCCGTTAGGGCTAATACAACCACCATTCGTACAACATACTCTCGTGGGGTGGTGGTAACTGGCAACCTGGGAGTGCAAGAGGCAACAATCAATTGCAGCCCATCATCATCCCAATTAATAGCAAGTTCTCCATCAACAACAGCAGGAACTGCCTCAGTTGGGCCAGCATCAACATCATCTTTGCCGGCCCCTTTAGTCTCAGCCACGGTGGTAGGGAGTGTCCTCAGCACCAGTACCAACAGTTTTAGTTCCCCCATGGGGACACTAGGTGGAAATAATGGCAAGCAGCAGCAACAGCTGCAGCAAACCTGGGATGCTGCTCAGACAGATGCAGTATCTGTCAGTGATGCCCCACTTACCAGTTTGGTAAGTGGCATTGACAGCACTGCTACAATCACTCAGATTAGCAGCAGCACCAGGGGAGCCACCACCTGCACCACCACCGTGGCCAGCCCTCCGGGGGACATACGAGCAGCAAGCATGTTAGAGACTTTACTTAGAGATCGACCAGTTCCACCCAACCCTCTTCATACCCAGTCCACCACAGCCATTACCACCATTACAGCTGCACTACCACATACACTCACATCTGTTGTAGGCAGTAGTGGAATACCCATTGCTGTATCATGCGAAGGCCAAGTAACAAATGCTGTAATGGGTACACTGACCAGTACTGGTAGCAGCAATGGAAGTGTAGTTATTGCAAGTGGTACAAGTGCTAACAGTGGAGTTATTATGGCTAGTGGTGTCGTTGGAGGAGGCACAGGAAGTGGTGTTGTGGTTGCTAGCGGTGGAATTGTTAGTAGCAGTGGTGTTGGAGGTAATACTACTGTTGGAGACACCAGTAGTGGAGCAGTGCAACAGGTACTAGTTCCAGGTCAACTTGTACAAGTACACACAAGTGATGGGTCAACTGGCTTAGGAATTGTTCATTCATCCTCATTAGACTTAAGGTTACCTGCTGGTACAAGGGTAATTAAGTCCTGCAGTGGAACAGTAAGAACAGCAGCAGGTCAACAACAGGTAACAGGGGTCCTTAATCAAGCAGGTGGAAGACAAGTTAATGTGTTACACAATGTCAAGATCTTGCAGAATGTACAGAACAGACAGATTGTAAGGACAGTTGTAGTACCTCACACAGTTGCTCTTCAGGGACTGAATACACATCAAACAAGCCACCTCAAACCTCAAGTAGTGGCCCTCAGTCAAGGAACTAGTACATCATCCCCAGCTGGCAGTGTTGAAGGTGGTGTGATGCAGCCCCAAGGTCCTATTACTACTGTCAGAGCAAAGATCCCACCCTCCACCATTGTACAGAAAGTTCTAGGTCGCAGTGGTCTTGTCATCCGTACTCTAAGACCACAGACATCTTCCACTCAGGCTCCTGGAGAAACATCAGCATTTGAGGAAGGACTAGGAGCAAAATTACAACAACAACAGGTTGTAGATAGTGACAAGAATTCAGGAACTTCAAGCACTAATGTAACGGTTGCTCGATTACCTCAAGATGAAGGTCTTGGTGAACGCCTTAGTCACTACCTAAAAACTGCATTAGTAAGTTCCACTAGCACACAAAGTGTTGGCACACAAACTCTCACTACAGCTGTCAAACCCTCAGCTGGGCAATTAGTAAATCAAGTTGCAATGAACCATTTACGAGGTGGAAGTGCAACACTTTCATTAGCAGGAGGAGTTCAAGGAATTGCTGGGCAGCCAAACACAATCTCTACAAGTCCAACACCACCACAGCAGTCAAGTCTGCCATCTCTTCCTCTCACTCCAACAAATGCTGTAAGCTCTGAAACTTTGGAACAACTTAGAGAATTTGAGTCTGTTTTTGAGAAAGTATCTAACAAGTCAGGGAAAGAGATAACTGATGGAGAAGCTAGTGCAGAGAGCTACTCAAACACCACTATGTCATCTGAAGAATCTATGATTGCTGCACAGCTTTTAAGTATGGCTAATGATACACCAGCTGTCACCACAACATCTAACTATGTGTATTCTGTACCCACCACTGTGTATGATGCAGGAGGCACACGCCTAACAGAAGGAACTTACATTACCATTCCAAGCACTACTCAAGCAGGAACTCTTATATTAGTGAATCATAGTGGCTCTGGAACAGGTTTAGTAACAGTTGCTAGTGGTGTACAGAGTCAACAGCCTCCTACAGCAGCATCACCTACTTTGTCTTCTACCTCATCCCACTCTTCCATTGCATCTTCACCATCATCCACCTCCAGTAAAAATAAAAAACAACCACCTAAGTCAAAAGTAGTCCCTCCAACTACCCCACCAGTGGTGGCCAAGCCAAAGACACCACCCCCTCCAAAGGCTCCAGCCCCAAAGCCAACAGTAGCCAAGCCCCAGGTTGAGGAGAGTGATGAAACTAAAGCACGCATTCAGGCAATACTGGAACAATATAAGCAGGATCTTGCCAAGACACCACAGCCACAACCAGCACCACGGAATAGAAAAAATTGTCCTCCCCCTAAAAGTGAAGGAAAATCATCAAATAAGAAGAAGAGTCCTGTAAAAAAAAGTGAGGGCGGTGCTGGAAACAGCCCAGCTGTATCTGAAGGTTCCATAGCTGGATGTCCTTCACCTAGCCCATCTCCAGGACCAGCAAGTGACAATTCTCTTGGGCTCTCAAGTAATGCATCTGGGGTACAGACAGTTCAGTATTCTTCACAGGTTTTATCTGGTCAAGGGAATTCTCCTACTGGGAGTACTGTTATCCCAGATGATAAAATTAAGGTTGAAAGTAGCCAGGAAGTGGTGGCAGCAGCAACTCCACAGCTATTACAAGGTGTAGTAGTTTCAAATGTTAAGGTGGAAGGAAGTAATCTGTCTAACACTGCAACCAGTCTTGCCCCAGGTTTGGCAGGGGGTAGAGTAGTACAATTCATTCGTCATGGAGGAAAGGTAACTGCTATCACCACACGCCAGCCTCTTAGTAAGATCAAGACCACAAGTCAATCTGGTCCACCACCTAATGTAACGATACAGGGACGCATCAATATGAATGATCTTATGGAAAGTCACATTGCTTCTCTGTTAACTGGTGGATCCTCTATAAGTCAAACCCCCACAGTTGTTAGCAAGATTGTCCAACAACAACAATTGGCTGGCCATCAGACAGTGCAGCAAGTAGTAGTGCAGACATCAGGAGGTCAGCAGGTGTTACAACAAGTTGCTGTCCAACAGCTTCCTCCTACCCATGCAAAACCACAGCAGCAGAAGCAACAAAAGTGTGGTGTAATCCAGCAACTTGGAGTGGCCAGTAATGAGGAAGTATTGGGGTTGGTATCACCACCTCGTTCTATACACGTCAGTTTGCCATCGGTACCCAATGTTACTCAATCTAACACAGCCACTATTACAAACGCTACCATCACAAATACATCACCTGTTACCAAAATCTCTGTTGTTACTAATGCATCCCTTGTGACTACAACATCTATCATCAACAGTACACCAGTCATCACTAATGTCTCCACCAGTGTTCCACACAGCAATACATCCACGAGCAGTGGAGCATCTGGGCCTTCCCCTCCGTCAGTAATTTCAACTTCTCCTCTCACACCCCAGGCAAATACTGTTACCTCACCTCCAACTCCACAACCTATCACAGCCTCCCCTCATACCCCATCTCCTGCTACTGAACTTCCGCCCACTCCTTCGTCATTTCAAATGGGTGAGGAAAGCAATAGTAGTGAACAGAGTGTTAATGAAGGCTTGGCTGGTCCATTACCTCCATTCTTTACCCTCAAATCATTCATAATGCAAAGTCCACAACAACCGTCACAACAGAACCACCAGTCACAGCAGCAGAAACAAGAACAACAAAGGGTTCCAGATAAAAGTTTTTCTTCTGGAAATAGCATGCAGCAGAGTGCTAGTACCACAGCAACTACTCAAGCAGTCTCAACAGGGTCAGGGATAACAACCCAAAACAAACATCCGCAACGTGGAAATCAAGCTCATATTCAGCTACAGATTTCACAACTTCCAAGAAAGCCTGCCTCAGTGATCCGTACAGGTGGAAGTGGTGGAAGGAGATTAGTGGTTGGAGGCACTGATGGGAATGGAAGGACGATAGGACGTGGCACTGCAGCCTCTCCATTACTTGTCAGTGGAACAGGAGATGTGGGGATTGCAGTTTCTCCAATGTCTGGCTCCTCAAGTCTGGAAAGCTCACCTGCAGCCACTCATTCCCGCATCCGCTTGGCAACAAGACCACAAGATACGAGGAGCAATTCCATTGACTCCTTAAAAAGTGATCTCAGTAAGTAACTTTTGTAGCTGGTTATGTTGTATGATGTATTCATTGTTTATTTTAACAAGATTAGTTTTCTTGAATGTCATTAAATATTTTTGGTAACCTTGAGGAATGTTTGTTATTCCAGTAGCCAACCTTGAGGTTGAGATATTTATTATCAAAATTAGTGAACTTTTATCTTTTTTTTTCTATGCACGAGTGCCAATCACACATCCCCAACTTGAATCTACTAATCAGTATATAATTTTCAGATTATATATATATATATTTATATATATATAGTATACATAAATTTTAAAGTGCTATTTTTTTACAAAATTGACATTTCAGGAGTCACTGTAATGGATTGGTATCCCTAAACATTAAGTATTTTGAGAAATTGGCCTTGAGATTACAGTATTTATTAGTGAATCGACTTTTAAACATTTTTTATAAAAGTATGTTAGGAAATTCAGTGGTAGTGGAGTAAAGATCTCCATGCAATACCTATGACTTGGGTTTCACCTCAGAGCTGAGGAGGGTTGGCTGGCATTGCCATTTTAAAGGCATCAGTCTCTTCTGACCCTGCTCACTTGAGAGAATGAACAAAGATATGCTAATTTTAGCTGTTTACTGTTTTATGCAGAAGAGCTTGGTTAGGACTTTTCTGAGTAAGCTGACTAATACTGCAATTATAGAATAATTTTCATGTTAAATTTTGTGATGACTGTTTTCTTGCATGTATGTTTAGATCATTACAAATATTTATTTTTTTAATATTTTGAAGAATTTTTACATCTTGCATAGTATAGCAGACATGCTTGCACATATTTGGAATTACTTGAAAATTTCATAATTTTTCAAAAAGTATTGTTCTTTTGATATTTAAAAGTAATATATATACATTATATATATATACAGTACAGTACAGTATACAGGTATATTAAAAAAAAAATGCACCCCTTAAAAGATAATGGTGTAGATGAACCATGAACCACTCTAGTCAGTGACCAACTTATGGCATACCATACATTGTGGATAAAGTATCACTTTTATGTAGAATTAGGATTGAACCTTACTCATAGAGTACCCAGCAGATGTTCTAGGAAGGGACCATACCTCCACAAAAAATCAGTATGACTGAAGTAAATATTAAGAATATTTTTTATTACAAATATCCATGTAATATTGTATTATAAAAAAGATGAACATCTTATAATAGATGATGAAAATAAAGTGGGAGGGTTTATTACAAGTTGTAATTATTACTCCCTAGAATATTAAGAAGTAATGTTTATAATTCTTCTTCCTTGTTAGTAACTTATTAGTAACTTACTTTCTGAAAAATATGAAATTTAATATAAACAATAGTTCCTACATGGTTAAGATGTTCAGCTGTCATTATTACATAAGAAGTGAAAACTTTGATGAAGTTTAAAAGTATGAATCAGGTACAGTACAGCATCGAGGTCCTGAGGAAAGGTTTGGGTTTAACTAGAGCCTTTGTTGAATACTGGATTATAACTTTTTACAAGCAAAAAAATTTTTTGTAAATTTTGGTGTGAAAGTTTGTTATTGCAGGCTCTTGTTTTGAATTGTTCAGCATTTTGCTGGCCCAAGTAGCTCTAGTGTTAGCCATTTTAAATAATCAGGGGATATGTCCTTACCAGTGGCTTCCATTTAAGATTGCTTTTGAGATGGAGCTTTTGAAACAAAATTCTCCTATCAAACCTGTTATCCTTAATGCTGAGCCAATTTTATACTATAACTTCAGTGTGCAAGCCAAACACCCCACCTGACATTTATTTATTTTATTATTTTTTTGTGTGTGTGTGGGAGACAGCAGCAGCAATTTGTTGAAAATTTTTGGGAACCTGGTGCCAAGTCCAAACAGCAGATTTTGGGAATTGTCCAAATTTTAAATAAAATATGTGATGGTTCACTCACTTCTGGCTATGCCAAAATGCATGCTACATAAAAAAAAAAATCGAAGCTAGCCATAAAATTGTTGATGAAACGTTACTTTGGGGTGACACTCAGCATTTTTGTTTATTCTTCATGCTGTTAGTGTATTTAAATGTTATTGTTTTGTAAGTGTATTTTGAGTTTATTGTCTACAGTATGTTATTTATAATCACCCATCTTATTGAACTTGGTTTTATTTATTTAATGTAGAAAACATATTTGATTCAATGGAACACAAAAGTTCTTTGGCATAATTTTGATGTTCGATAATTACTCATTTACAGTACATTACTGTACTGTACTTGTTTGATATTTTAAAATGTGTTACTTTCGGTAGCCTTAAAATTACCAGACTGTCTACAGACCTATACAATATAATCATGCCTATTCTTCCAAGTGTGGGTGGGAAAGTCAAAACACAACAGTTGTGGGAATCGTCGTGGCAGGCATAACACAATGTGTGGGGTAATTATCCCTAAAGGGTTAAACCACCTCCAGAATGTGACACAGTACTGGTTGCATAAAAAATATCAGTGGTGCTAAGCCCAAGAGTTTGAAATCATGGATAGGACTTAGACGTTAGTGGTTGAGACTTATTTATTAATTAGTTCAGATTGTATTTTTAAGCCTATTACCAAGTCTGAAAAGGATCTTTAGAAACACAAGTCACCATTTAAGGTAGCAAGCAATTAATTATAAATGCAACATCACCATGTGTGCACTGTGCCTGTCAGCTGGTTTGGCCATAAGTTGTGATTCCAGATTCATACCCTTCAGTTCCAGCCATGACACCATGCTGTTAAAGACACATGCTGTTAAAATGGCTCACTGGCAGCAGTGCTTCTTACACCTAAGGAGGGGCATGAAGCTAAGTGTTTTAGCCTCTACTTTTATCATAGGTTGGGTAACTAAGAGCTACATAATTTTCAATGTTTTGCTTATTTTTTTAAAGATTTCAGAGCCACCATAATGAGCACTGTAGTTTGAATCCCTACATTGTTATTTTTTCCTGGTGTAAAGTTCATAGAATTTTCTTTGCTAATGGAGCCTAGTGCTACTGATGATAATATTAATGTTCAATGAACCTTGTAATTGTGTGACTTATAATGTCAAATTGCTTGAAATTATAGGTGTTCTGGGAGTTGAGGCATTTGGCTCTCTCCTTCCTGTAAATATTGTTGTAAGAAGGGGAGACATATTAATGGCTGTTTTGTGGCATATAAGATGATGACCTAGGGAAGTCATCTCAATTCCTTGCTCAGATGAATAGTTTCAGAACATTCTTTGAGTCAGTGATGATAACCCAAAGGAGCACTGTTGTATTCTTTATTCATTGCTTTTGCTTATCTCCTTATATCCATAGGCTAGGGATATTGGGTGTAAATAAAATTTTGGTATTAAGGAAACAAGGGGGTTAAGTGTAATCACCCTCTTCCTAATACTGTGATTAAGTAGGGGACCAATTTGATTGTTATCCTCTAAATTCTTTTAAATCTGTGAGAGGGGTATTTCAGAGGTTTCTCCTGGGGAGGTAGAAAATAACTCTGGGTCTGAATCATCAAGAATTGGATAGTGATGAGCTTCCTGTGGGAGGAGAAATTACTCATTTCCCAAACATTTGGTCTCAGTAGGACAGCTGTGGCTTTCATTTACAGTTGGCCCTCAATTTTTGTTGGTGGTTACATTCTTGAAAAACTCATGCAAATAAAAACTGGACAAAAACACTAAGGGTCGAAAGGAAATAAGTGGTAAGGTTCCAGACTCACAAGATGGATGGCCTTCCTCGTTCATCCAATTAGTTAATGTGCTGTATATGCAACAAAACATTTTATAAATAATTTTACTGGCACTCCTTTAATAATGAAGATATTAGTGAACTTGATGTGATGACATTATTGATATTGAAGTCAGAAGTAGGAGGATTTGCCTGAGCAGCCCAGGGAGTGTGGGGTGAAGGTGGGATCATGTTTGTAAAAGAACAGACAGTAATGGTGGTATTTGGTGGAAGATTATGGAGGTGGCAGTGGTGGTAAACATGTGAAAAATCCTTGGTGGTCCTCGTTGTTCATGAGGGTTGTGTTCTTGAAAAGCATAACTGATGGTAAAGCCAAAATTTACCACATAGTTATATTAACTGGAGTTATGTTTATGAATGAAAAATTATGAAACTATCAGAAATGACATTAAATGTCAAGATTTATTTTGAACGAATCTTTTTTAGAATTTTTTAAATGAAACAAAAAAGATAAAATATTAAAAATTTCAGAAATTATCTTAAAAGTTGAGACAGGTATTCACTTCAAACGAAGATTTGGAGATTTTTGTGAGGTAAAAAAGAACATAAAGATATGAAAGCATCAGAAAAGGTGTTAAATGTTAAGGCTAGGGTTCAGGCAATATTCACAGCTTGTTCTCCTATTCAAAATGCCAAGAGCATGGGTGTTTGTGTGTGGAGCGGCTGACTCACCACTCCAGCTACGTCCCGTGACGTCACATACAGCACAGTAGACACACACTCACGCACTCTTAAGCCCCGTCCACACTATCAGACAGTGGCCGTCGGGCAAGAGTGATGAGTCCGTCATCGCACACTTTGTGGCAACTTTGACGGGCAAACCAGCGTACAGCCCGTGCGCGTACTTGAGCGAAATCAGCAGACTGCCCGGTGGTTTGGCGCCAGGCATGGACCGACGACGACGAGTGCAATACATAATGATCACTATTGATATTTAAGTTATTTTATGGAGAGAGTTTTGTACATACATTTTGGAGTGTATGTAATTACTTTATATAATAAATAGTTTATATACAGTATATATATATATATATATATATATATATATATATATATATATATATATATATATATATATATATATATATATATATATATATATATATATATATATATATATATATATATATATATATATATATATATATATATATATATATATATATATATATATATATATATATATATATATATATATATATATATACACACATATATATATATACACACAGTATTACCCCGCCTAACGCGGTTTCACTTAACGCGT